GGCGCTGGTCAGCCCCAAAGTGCTGTTCTTCGGACATCCATTGACTTGGTACTTTTTGTGGCTAGAATATGGTGGATCATCCCCGGTTAAAGGACAGTGAGAATAGCTATTTTTCCTAGTTAGATATCTGGATGTCATCCACCATATTAAATATATATTATACATCTGGTTGGTGGTTACATTTGTTATGACTTTCCATAATTATATTGGGAATGTCATCATCCCAACTGACGAACTCCATCATTTTTCCAGATGGTTAAAACCACCAATCAGACATATATATTAAATTATATTAAGTGGATTATAATCCCATTCCATTGAAATCCCATTAAAATCCCATTAAACCCCATTGAAATCCCATTAAAATCCCATTACATATTAAAATCCCATTAAACCCCATCAAAAATTATATACATTAATACAATATTAACGGTCATTTTTGTTCAAATGCCAATCCCCCGAATCTGCCATGGCCGGCCAGGCTTTGTACATTCTGGGCATGGACTTATCTCAGCTGTTCCAGGTCGGGTGATGAGTTGGACGTCTTTCACGGGTTGAAACATGGGAAGAAAGCCTTGGAACTGGTGGATTACCCGCTGGTTTAACATAGCGAACTGGAAAGATCGACCATTTTTTTGTTTCGGTGAATCAACTATCAATGACCCATTTTCCAGTTCGCTATCTTAGTTTACCAGAGGGTCAAAATCGTAGATTTTCCCCAAGAAAAGCTCCCCTAACTATCGCGGCTGATGAACTTAGGTGGGTGACTCACCCTGAAATCTGAAATCTTCCCAAACTCATCAGCATGAGCAGCTTCAGAACCCCACAACACCTGAACATTTGGTGTTTCAAGAAGCAAAATCATCACCCCTTTTTTTTACATCAGCGATTTGTAAGGTTTATAAACAATCTAATGTTGGTTTTAGCATTTTTTTAATAGTAAACATATATATATATATATTATATGTCTTTACTCCAAAAGCGATGAAGAGTCAAAGCGACCTCAAAGATTGCAGGTCCAGACTGGGTCCCAACTTTGGGTCCCGATCTCCATTTCTCGCAGGATGCCTTCGAGAGCTGCATTGCACGCTGGCGCAAGAGACAGGAGCAGGGGAAGGCCAGGAAAAAATCACCACAGCATCGTCATCCCATGGAACAAACCACGGAAGGAAAAAACACATCGTAAAAGGACAACGTCCGAAGTAAGTATTCCCAAGGAGCAAGATTGATATATATGTAACAAAATCATATGTTAATATATATATATATAATATTACTTACATATGTAGGGATATATAGGGTTTCTATGCTGCAATTCATGTTAATATGCTAATATGTATATTTTTCAGGGCTTCAACCCGAAAATTTCCCACCTGAAATTTCCAGCGAGTCAGGTGCTATTGGCTCAAGATGTTCTACATCGAAGTGGAGTGGCCAAATAGGCGTGGGACGTGGTTGGGACCTTGGAACTGTGGCTTACCCTCTGGTAATTTAACATAGCTATTGAAAATGACCATTTATAGTGGATTTACCCATTAAAAATGGTGATTTTCCATAGCTATGTTAGTTCACCAGAGGGTAAGCTGCCAAAGGCTTAAGCTGCCAAAGGCTTAAAATACCGATGTAAGCAGTACACTGCGCCCAGTTCGAAGATCATGTTCTACATGATGGATCTAGTGAATCTAGTGGATAGATGTGGATAGTGTTTTTTTTGATCTGAATAGATGGAATATCTGGTCATCAATTTCACCATTTCTGGGACTTGCCACTTAGATGCGAATGGCAGGCCGTTGCCAGTGAGCATTGCATGCGAATTGCTGAATTTGGAGGTGGGGGAACAGACAAAGAATCGCCATGGAGGTCATGGTTTTGTCGTGTTGAAACCCTGTTGAAAAACCATTTTTGACGACCAAAAGTGGGCATGTTGCCGAAACAAAAGTGTGAGATAGTGAGGCCAGAACCAGCGTCAGTACCCTCAATCAAACATGGCTGGAAAATGCCTATATTATCCTACATGATATAATCCAGCTAAACTTTCTAGGATACCCAGCGTCAGTAGCCTCTTAAACATAGCTGGCGTCATCCCTATATATTTAGGGGAGCTGTCTCGACTCTGATGATTCATGTGCCATGGTCAAGCTACAAGTTAGTATACCCTGGTAATTTGTTACATACTTGTAGCTATTGAAATTGGTGATTTATAGTTAATTGTGATGTATGCATTTCAAAAAAATGTGATGTTCCAATATTTTCCATAGCTATGTTAGTTTACCAGAGGGTAAGTTAGTTGGATTAGATTTAATATGTTTTAATTTACCCATATTGGAGATGATCATCAATATAGAAAACTGGGGATGATAAGGGATTTATATGCACAAAAAGCATGGCACATTGATGTAGGATTCCCACTACGGGATGGATGATCATAAACCATCTACAATCTTTTGACCGCACACATTTAAGAATGTCGATTATAGATGATTATAGTAGTTGTTTGACTTCTCCAATTCACACTTGAACACACAGCCGGATCACTCAAATATCTAGAATCTAGATGATTTTTTGTGATTTTAGGCTTGGGGGATCAGCAATCTCAAAAACAATCAGTGTTAGGATCCTTTTAAGGGGTAACAAAAAGACGATCACTACAGGTAGCCACCAGTCGCGGCTTCCACGTGAGGTCGCACTAGTAGACTCACTAGACCATCCATTCAGTCAGGTCGTCGTTCCTTCACCGTGGCGTGGCTGGCTCACGTCCCACGTGAAAAACCGTAGCTCGGCCGAGTGAAGACCACTCGGCGGGGATGGGGATATCATCCCTGTCCTGGATGATCACGAAGGGATTGCGTGCAAGGTGCGAGGTGTCGTGGGGGTTGCCATGACAAAAACCATGACAAAAACCATGACTATTTGTGGAATATGGACTGGAATAACCAATTCTATTTCCATGATTGTGGATGGTTATTCCATAATATTCCATAATATTCCATAATATTCCATAATATTCCATAATATTCCATAATATTCCATAATATTCCATAATATTCCATAATATTCCATAATATTCCATAATGTTCCATAATATTCCATAACATTCCATAACATTCCATAATATTCCATAATATTCCATAATATTCCATAATATTCCATAATATTCCATAACATTCCATAACATTCCATAATATTCCATAATATTCCATAATGTTCCATAATATTCCATAACATTCCATAATATTCCATAATATTCCATAATATTCCATAATATTCCATAATATTCCATAATATTCCATAATATTCCATAATATTCCATAACATTCCATAACATTCCATAATATTCCATAATATTCCATAATATTCCATAATATTCCATAATATTCCATAATATTCCATAATATTCCATAACATTCCATAACATTCCATAATATTCCATAATATTCCATAATATTCCATAATATTCCATAATATTCCATAATATTCCATAATATGATAACCATAATAACCATGACACTATATGACACTCCATATTACGATTGTGAAATATGGACTGGAATTCTTGGGGTTCTGGGTGGTTTGTTGATTCCACAGATATTGTGGATCATCCCACGAAGTGTTTTTACGGGTTACGAGTTGTGGGACTCCTTGGTTTTTTCACAATGTGGGACTCCCCAGTTGCAGTTTGTTGGTCTATAATCATTATAATCCCATCGAAGTATAATTCTAACTCCCATAAACCATCATAAACCCAACAGTTACTGTGATGATAAACCAAGCATACGCCAGCTCCTTAGGGGGAACCTACCTTCTATGAAACTGGATAAGCAGCAATCCTTGTGATCGATGATAACGAAGCGCTCCTTTTGGGGCCCACATGGAAAATCATGGAAAAAGACCCGGCGCTGGGCGGGACTAGCCGTGGAACGGCTAGTGTCTAAATGGCCATAGTCTTTGGGCTGATGGTTCCTTGAACCTACTAGCTGGGCGCCATGAAATGCCATGAATAACGCAAGTGAACACTGGAGGTGCCAAAAGATTTAGGGGTTGGAAGAATACTAACTAACTGCCATATCTTTTTGAATATTTCGAGAAAAATGGATCCATGTGTGCAGTTGTGCGAGATTTCGCACCTGAATTTCCCATGGCAAGACATACCACCACTGGCAGTTTTTGCGACCTTTAACAGATACCATTGTACCATATATATATATATCCATATATTATATATACCGTTACTGTATATCACCATATTTCATAATATATCACCATCAATATGGTAATATAATATCATGGTTCATATACTGGTATTTATGTATATATGGACATATAATATCATCGTATCATGGAAATAAAATGAAATAAACACACACATATATATAATATTAATACCATGTTTATTAATTGGAATCATAATTATACCATATCTGGATATGTATATATAATTATATATAGATATTAACGGAATATTACCAGTGGTATCATCAAGATCATGGAAAAAATATATATATATATACATACTATAAATCAGTATCTACTTATCTACCATTGCATCACCATTCCATATATTTGGGTAGATTAGGACAATCTCACTGTTCTTCCTTGCCATGGAATCATGGTTTATTTAGGGGAATCATCCCCAAGACAGCCGCACATTTCAGGTTAGTGAATTATAATTTGCCCAGATAGATGATATAACCATGACGAGTTTGTGCTTTGGAACAGTTTTTATGACTTTCCATGAAGAGTTGGGAATGTCATCATCCCAACTGTTACTCACTCCATCATTTTTCAGAGGGGTTGGCTCAACCACCAACCAGATTATTATTAACCATCATTAACCATATATTAACCATTATTAACCATATATTAATAGTATATTACACCATATATTAATAGTATATTACAGAGGGCTAGGTAGGCTCAACCACCAACCAGATGAATATTCATCATTCCCTTTCCAACCTGAGTAAGTCACCCTGGATCGCGGTGCCGCGACTTGGCTCAAGAGTTGGCTGCGAAGAATCCGCACGCATCGCCATTGGGCGGTTCGCTACCGCGGCGCGGCGGTTCCGTTACCGGAGGTCCAACGTTGGAGTGGACCTCACTGGCTCTTGCCAGTCACTGAAATGTCACAATGCTATGGTATGGTAATACCACAGCAACTGCGAAAGTCACAGTTGCACCATCCTTTCTCAAACATGAAGCTCGAAAGCTTTGAGTCAGTTCATAGAAAAGTCTGGATTTCTTTCATGTTTTTTGGATTCTTACCATATCGTATGAAACCGTTCTGTTTGGTTTCAATATTTTACGTCCCCAAGATTCCAGTTGTTTCAGGCTACCCCTAGACCCTCCAAGTGCTGGTACCCAATGAAACTTGGTAAAATTACCAAATTATTGGACAACCGATAATGATTTGTATCGCATTTTCTGAGTCATCCCATATTAGTGGTTCAACATTTTCCAGAGACCACACATGTTTCATATGTGTGAGTATCCATTTCTAATATGAGCAGTTTCAAACACTACAGTTGGAGACGATGATTCGAGACGATATACGATGATAGGGATTATGCTACCAAATATTATATACTGGCAAAATATATGCGCATATATATATATATATGTATATGTATATGTATATGTATATGTATATATATATATATTTATGTACATATATACACATGGATACTTGTAACCCATGAAGTAGGAACCCCCATTAGCCCTTTGATTTCATTCTCCAGTAGCTAATCACTAGACCTAAACCCTCCAAGTACCTTAATGAGAATGTTTCAAAATTGGAACACATGCAAAACATATGTGTAAACTGATGTGAACTGCAGTACTTTATTGATACTTGGAGGGTCTAGGTCTCCCCATTGGTTGGTGAACTTGTTTGCTGAGAAAACCATTATATACACAAGATATAAACTACTTTGATGTTTGGATATGTTTCCACAACATATTATTAAACAATTAACGGACCATTATATTTTTGTTAAATCATGTTCCCTTTTTCTGATCCTTTTGTAGAATCTTATATTATATTTACATTAACCAACCATGATATAAACATAGATACAATGTTCCCATTATATTATCATTATTATCTAAAATATATTAACCACACATTACGCAATCAATTATGATACATTATAGATAGGCACATTATATTATATCTATAGAAGCACCCATTATATTCTCATGATTATCTAAAAAAAACATATTCACTATACACACACTAATACATTATATATATATATACACACATAGATAACATATATTATCTGTACACATAATATAATCATATAATCATTTACCCTCTGGCTATTTAACATAGCCATGGAAGCCATGGCCCTAATCGAAATAGATGGTTTACCTGGGTTGACCTATTAAAGATGGTGATTTTCTATGGCTATGTTAAATGGCCAGATGGTACAATTTATGATACATGATAGATAGGTTTCCAGCCCATGAACCCATCCCATAACCCCCATCAAGTCAGGCATGGCGGATGCGTCTTTGACCTCGGCGGAGGCCATCATGGCCGATGCCAAGGCCCATCCATCGAAGATGGAGAAAAAATGCCATGAACAAATGAATTTATAAGTAGTGATTATGTCAATGGCCATTTCAGGATCCTAGATTGGAGGTACCTACCATTTCAGGATATCTACGTATCTACCATTCCATACCATAGTATATAGTATAGTATACATAATTATTACAGTATAGTATTAATGATATATATATATATACATATCTGGATAAATTTGACCACGACCGAACCCTGTTCTCCCGAAGCCTGGAAATCATGGTGAATGTATAGGGAAATCATCCCCATTCATGGCCGAACTATTCAGGTTAGTGAAATATTATAATTTACCCAGATAATTAGTGATTATGGATCATTCCCTCATTCCCTACTAAGCACCAGTAAGACTATGGCAATGATGTAGCAATGATATATAGCAATGATATATACTGGTTGGTGGTTTCAAACATGAATTTTATTTTCCATCATATATGGGATGTCATCCTTCCCATTGACGAACTCATATTTTTCAGATGGGTAGGTATACCACCAACCAGAATATATAGTTATGATAGCTATTAAATACTAACATATCATAGCTATCATTATTATGACTTTTGATTTAATTTTGCTACCATTATCATCAACATTATCATAGCTATATCATAACAATAGCATTAATATATAGCAATGATAATCATAGCTATTGCCATGATAAAAAAATGGATGTCATCGATCATTGACGTTTTTTTCAACAGGATCAAGGGGCGGACACTATGGGTACCCTCTGGTAATTTAACTATGGAAAATGGTGGATCTTTCCAGTTCGTTATGTGGCTGTTTACCAGCGGGCTCAGTTCTGCTCTTGATTCGGCTCAGTTCTGCCAGGCCATGTTTCCAGATGCGACTTCTGCGTTGGAATTCTCAGGAGATTTTTTTTCGATTTTTGCGTGGTGAATTCTTGTCGATTTACACCCCCAAAAAGCATTACGACATGAGTCACAACACTTCAATGTATAAAAAATAGTATATCTCAATATGACTGCTGACACAATCTGGTTGGTGGTTTGGAACATGAATTGTAATTTTCCATATATTGGGAATTTCATCATCCCAACTGACAAACTCCATCATTTTTCAGAGGGGAAGGTATACCACCAACCAGGTTGGATCTTGTTTTCTTTTTTTCCAGCCTATTTTCGACATGCATCGCTAGGTCGGAAGCTCTCGTTGGCTATGAGGCCCCACGGCCCACGCAGATGTCAGGGTGGCCCAGTGCCGGACATGGCTTCAGATGGGTTGACCGAACGGTGAATGGGCAGCAATAAGTTGGGGGTTACCGGGTTACCCTCTGGTAATTTGTTTTTTTAGCCATTGAAAATGGCCCAGTCGATAGTTGGTGGATTTAGCCATTGATAGCATGGTGATTTTCCATAGTTATGTTAGTTTACCAGTGGGTACTGCTCATAAAACGCTGATATGACTGGTTGGTGGTTTCAAAATATCGTGTACATTCGTATACTAGATATATATATATATAATTTATATATATATATATGTACACACACACACTGTCACACACCTAAATGGGATTATGGTCCCAAGTGAGAGTTTTTTTGAGATGGGTTGACAAGTTGACACCACCAAGGTGTTCATGACCCCAAACATGTTTAAAACATATGTATAGTATGATTTTGTGACAATGCGTGCCATGGTCCAAGCTTGGATAAAGTGCCCAATATTGGGGGATGGTCGCAATAGCACCATTAATTTGCCCCAAATTAACATAGATCCTGCAAAAAAAAAGTTGGAAGATTAGTTTCCACTAAAGATTGATTATGTTCAGGGTATATGGGTGGTTCCATAAATGTGGGGTACCCCAAAAGATAGCTGGATGGTTTATTTCATGGAAAATCCCATCTATAAATGGATGATTTGGGGGTACCCCTATATCCTCATATGTGGATATAATGAGATATATTGGACATATCTGTCATGTTGCCAAGAAATGTCAGAGTCCAATGGGAATATTATGGGTATACAATGGCAATATCATTGGATGTATAATCAATAATGTCTCCATGATGATATTTCTATGATAGATGTATATCCAATAATCATCGGTATAATCAATAATTTGATCTGGGTAAATTTCATCACGACCGAACCCTGTTCTCCCTCACTGGAAATCATTGTTTATGTTAGGGAAATCATCCCCATTCATGGCCGAACTATTCAGGTTAGTGACATATTACAATTTACCCAGATTTGATATGTTTATTTACACCATCATAGAGATGTCTTTAACTCAACAGTGAAACACTCCCTGACATCGTCAAGCCTTTTGGACCAGGGTGAGCTTTCAACAGCAGCAGCTCTACAAGAGTAAGGCTGGGCGAGGGCGATTGGTTCGGGATTTCGAAGCTACCTGCAGTTGTTGATGTTGGGGATCAGTATATATATATATGTATATCAGAATTATGGATTCTATAGATTTCTATAGCCTATTTAAAAAGGATACCAATTAGCGACTCAGTATTTGATGAGATAGGTTGGATTTTTATGGATTTTTCATGGCTCTGATGAGCAATGCCCGTTTGCCAGCGTTCGCTCATTAAGAGTACATTTTTGGTGCCAACCTTTCAACTCATGGCAAGGTCATGTTAGTTGGGGGAAACATTCTATAATTATGTGAATTTATATCTAAGTCAATAGCACCAACCATATGTAATATATATGTGTATATATAATATATATATATATTGATAATCAATAGATATTCATACTCATGGCAAGGTCGGGAAGAAAGGATGGATTGCCAAGTCGCTCGCGTTTCGCCATGGATCCTGGTGAGGTTTTTTTTCGTCTCAGCAATTGTCTGACATGCTGAAAAAACAAAGGCAAACAAGACTTGAAGTTGGCGATATACACCAAAAACTCATTGTATAATTGTTAAAATATATATCGTGTATAATTATTCAAACAAACCATGGGATATCATTGTATAATCCCATTGTTAAATTATATACAAGATTATACAATGATATCCCCTGATTTCCCGTGACATATATTCCACCAAAAAAACTCCGATATGGGTATGGATCAATACCTATTAATACCATTTTTAGTGGGATGAACATCCATTTACCAGCTATTTTGATGTTCACCAGGGGTACAAGGTTTTGACACACTGCCATATAATGCTTGGTTATATGAGTCCGAACATTGTACAATTCCTGCGTTGACCAGGCAAATTTCATGCGTTGCCATAAAAAAAAACCATTGGCTTTACACATCTTACCGACCTCCGTAGAATCCTCCTATAAAATACCCATGGAATCTACATGAAATCCTTGGGTTTTATGATGTTTTATCGCCCATTTAGCAACAAAAAATACATTCATAATTGGATGGGTTTTGTTGGGAAAATCTTCAGAAACAAAACCAGGTTTTTACCATTAACAAAAAGCGGGGGTTTCCTGATGTTTCCTATGGGATGGGGGTCCCAGTCGAGTTCGCGTGAACCGTTGCCTTACAAAAGTGGCTGAATTCTATGGTTTATGGTAGATATAACTATAGTTAATTGGGGTTATTTCATTGTTTGTAATCCAACTTATCACTGGGGGGCCCCATCCTGTACCCAATATATTGGAGATACTTGGAGATGATCATAATTATGGACATTCATGGATAGTATATGATTACCCTCTGGTAAACGTTTACAGTTTGCTATTGAAAATGGCAATGGAAAATTCGTTGATTTGCATATTAACCATGGTGATTTTCCATAGTTATAGTTATATATGGTTTATAAGCCAACTTACAACTGGGGGGGCCCATCCTGCGTAAATTTTCCCACTATCCAATTCTGTGAATTGTTGATTATAATTTCCCCATAATCAAGAACTGGTTGGTGGTTTGGAACATGGTTGGTGGTTTGGAACATGAATTTTAGTTTTCCATATATTGGGAATTTCATCATCCCAACTGACGAAGTCATATTTTTCAGAGGGGTAGGTCAACCACCAACCAGATCTAGAATCTAGAATCCCCCATAATGGTACCCTCTGGTAATTTAACATAGCTATTGAAAATTGCCCATTTATAGTTGATTTTCCTATTAAAGATGGTGATTTTCCATAGTTATTCTATAGTTTACCAGAGGGTAAGCATACCACCTATAGTAAAGGTTTCGAAGTAAAGGATCCCAAGTAAAGGTTTCCAAGGTTCCCATCCCAAGGTTTCCAAGGTTCCCAAGGTTCCAAGGTTCCCTCAAGGTTCCCAAAAGGTTCCGAAAAGGTTCCCTCAAGGTTCCCGAGGGCAAGAAGGAGGGAACTTAGCCGTACCTTCAGTTCTTGTGGGAGGTCAAAACCAACCCACGACAGGACACGAAGCAGACCTTCGCACCGGAGACTACCCCGTAGGTGGTTTCACACATTTTTTATTTTCCTTTCATATATGGGATGTCATCCTTCCTTCCGTAGCCATTTTGGCTCAAGCCGTCACATTATCTTTTCAGCCGTCCCAAATTCTTCACGCTATACACCACTAGCTCGCCATGAAAGTAACCGTACCGAACGTCCTTTTTGCCTTGATTTTCTGCGAAATACAAAATCTACCAGGTGTCTTCGCGACAGCAGCAGAAGAAGAAGTTTTCGATGCGCAACCTCCATCGTCTACGGAGATGGAGGATCCAACTGAGATGCCAACTTCTGCAACATCGGGACCGGAAGTGACAGCGGAGGTTCCTACCGCCCAAGTGGCCCCGATGCCGGCTTCAAGTGCGATGGCCAGTGGCAGCTCCTGCATCAACCCCAGATGTGCCGGCAACTGCAGAAGCGCCGGATCAGGAGTATACAGGCCCGTTGGCCAATCTGTTAGCAGGCAGTATTGCAGCTCCGCGGCAATTGCATCGCCGCCCGCCTTGGGCGGTGACGCCCTTCCACGGAGTGGAAGCACCGGAGTGGAAGCATCCGGAACACAGGAGCATATGGCGGAGATTCCTGGCCCAGCAGACGCTTTGGCCGTCTTAATGCAGGAAAACATGTTCCAAGCAGAGGAGCATATGGCGGAGATTCCTGGCCCAGCAGACGAACCTTTGCCCTCGCAGCCGCCAGTACCTTTGGAGGTGGAGTTGCTGATGTCGACCTGCAAAGAGCCACGTTGGCAAGTTTGGGGCACGACGTGGACTCTATGGACGAAGACTTCAGAGCTGCTTTGTTAGCCTTGGTGGAGGACGAAGAGTTTGTTTCGGCCATGGATGGTTCCAGTTCCTCCACGGGCGCCTCCAGCGGATCCGCCAGCGGATCCAGTTCCTCCTCAGGCGGCGCGGCTGGGCATTGCAGTTCTCAGCGCTTTTAGGTATTGAAGATACGTGGAAGTCAAAAAGTGTGGGCAACAACCACTGAAGCTAAAAGCTCTTAGTTGGATTCAAAAAAACAAAAAAGAAAAAAATGAGCAGAGGTGAATCAGCCTGGAAATCGGCATGACCACGGAAGATGACGGTTCCAATAATTATTCAAACTATAGTAACTCATCACATTGGGTAAAGTATACAAAAAGCAACCCAACCTCTACGAGATGGACGGTGCATTGTGGTCCTGTCGGGAAGAGATTCCCGCGAATTTCGGCTGTCACAGACCCCACGCCGCTGCGTGCTGCAAGGTGTCGGCAACAGATTTTTGAAAACCAGGGAACAGTCCAACCTGATTATCACGGACTAGGCACCTAGGGTCTATGTACAGAGTCGCCGTGAGACGTGCACGAGACCAAGTGCCAAAGGGCACAGCAGCCTCAAAGTGACAAAGTGTCATCCTTCCCATTGACGAACTCCATCATTTTTCAAGATGGTTACTGCACCACCAACCAGAAATATATATATATATATTAAGTGGATTATAATCCCATTCCATTCCATTAAATTCCATTAAAATCCCATTAAACCCCAGTATGGGTAATGGTAAGCATACCACCTATTAAAAAAACATATTCCTTCAACCGATCCAATGAGAAATTCTCATGCACCGCAGTGCGCGGATGTGCGCGGTCCATCCAGGCTTCCGAAGCTTTAGCCTTGGCCAAGGTCGCCTCTCTGGTCAAACGGGTCAACCGGGAAATTCCGTGGTGAAATTCTCCAGAACAAAGGGGAAAATTTCGATGAAACATGGAGAGACATGTGATTTTAAGCACGCTTAAGCATCCAAATGTTGGGATATAACCATTCAAAAATATGTAAACATATGTAAACAATAATATTTGACCATGAAACATGTTTGAATTTAACCATGTTCAACCATCAAACATAGTGATTTCAACACCTCAACTTATGTGGGATTCAGAATGTTTCGTCCATGAAGCTCTGAGTAAACCAACTGTTTGCAGGGCATGGACATCACCTACTTTCAGGTCATATTATTCACCTCAAACAGGTGACAATCTGAGTTCATATTCTGATTTGCATAGAACTACATATTCGATTTATTGGCACTCATGGGAATATAGTATATATGTGCATTCATATATATATATATATAATGATATAACGATATATGTATATATAATGATTGATATAACGATGTATATATATAATGATATATATATATATAATGATATATATATATATCTATATATATAATGCTATATATACCTATATATATAATGATTGATATAAACGATATATATAATGATATCTTTAATGGTATATATAATGATATATATAATGATATATGTATATATATATAATGATATATATAATGATAAATATAATGATAAATATAATATTATATATAATGATATATATAATTATATATATAGTTATATATATAATTATATATATAGTGATATATATAATGATTTATATATCATGACTTTATATATAATTATATATATAATGATATTTATATATATATATATATATAATTATATATATATATATTACATAATGATATATGATGATGATGATGATGATGATGATGATGATGATGATGATGATGATTATATAATGGTATTCTATTTATAATGGTATTATATATATAATGGTATTTTATATATAATGATATTATATATATAATGGTATTATATATATAATGGTATTATATATACATATGCATTCATGTCGCATATATACATATATATTTTTTCATGCCACTCTGTTTGAAAAACGATTCATGGTATATAGGGTATATATCGATGTATGATTGGATGCAATTAGCTCTTTTTTCACATGGGCCCTGGTGATTCAGCAGGCATTTAACCCCCATTTTCTAGTAATGTGGGTAAACCAATAATGAACCATCCCCAAGTCATCACCATAAATAGATATAAATAGCTGGGATTCAAACCATTCCCAGTCATGGCTGGTTTATTATTGTTTTTCCCACATTATACCAATGACAATGATTACTGGTACAAGCAAACATTTCGTGTTGCTTACGCAATACATTACCCGTTATTGCTGGCAAAAACATTGTGTATTCTTGGTTGAAACACCACTTTCAGACCATTTCCTGCTCAGTTTGCCAGCCCCACGCTTCCGATGCTGGGGAGGAATCCTTAGTGTCTTTCCGCCGGGCGGGGGACAAGAAGAAGGTCGCCGCCTTGAAAGTGGCCCGAGATGCTCAGTGGATGGGAACCGGGGAAGCAAACTGGGCAGGGACGAACATGGACGAACATGGACGAAGTGACTCTGGGAGAAACTGACTTTGGGGAGTCCCCATTGAAAGCCTCTGGTAAACTATAGAATAACTGGTTTGTGGTTTGGACCATGAATTTTATTTTTCCCATCATATTGGGAATGTCATCATCCCAACTGACTTTCACTCCATCATTTTTCAGAGGGGTAGGTATACCACCAATCAGATAGAAGAACTAATAATAACCATCCATTAACCACCATTAACCACCATTAACCATATATGGGACCATTGAACTATGGAAAAGATCCACCGTTTTTGTTTTCGGTAAATCCATCATAGCTATGACCGTATCGGGTATCTCACAGGACCGTATCCATGCCGCGATGCGATCCGCTGTCGAGGTGGTGGATGCTAACATGGCAATGGAAAGGAGTTTCGATGCCATGATGGCTGCAGATGCCTCAGGGAAGGCTCAAAGGCTCAAGAAATCTTAAGAAGATTGAAACCCATTGAAACCCAACTAATGCGACACTTGGAAAATTTAAGCACACCATGGATCACTATGCTAGATATATCTACATTTCATGGGGGTAAACACCACTTAACTATCAATGCGGGGGCCACCTTGTAAACATAAATCGTTGGATGATGTTTGGGATACCCCGTGCGATATCCCGCCCTGGTGTAGATCAGCAGATCCGTCAGAGACGGCAAGGCCAGTGATGAGCTGGCCATGATCAAAAGAACTGGAGACAAGCAGGCGGTTTTTTTCGGGTCAAACAGAGAACTGGTTGGTGGTTTGGAACATGAATGGATTATTTTTCCAGAATATATGGGAATAATCGTACCAACTGACTTTCATATTTTTCAGAGGGGTAGGTATACCACCAACCGGTTCGGGTGAAACAGATAAGATCAGATTCTGTGGATATATTTGTGGCAGGTCATTTGGCAGGTCATGAATAGCAACCATCTAAAAATGTTCATTCTGAAGAAAGTCTTTGAAGGATGAGCCAATTTTACGTTGCCAATCTCGTTCTGAAATAAGAAACTGGTTGCTGGTTTGGAACATGAATTTTATTTTCCCCAATAGGTGGGATGATGATCCAATCTGACTAACTAATATTTTTCAGAGGGGTTGAAACCACCAACTAGGAAATGACAATTTTGGACATCCACCAATTTTGCCAATGTCATTCTGAAATGTCAATTTTCGGTTCCGGCTCCCGTGGTGTCCAAGTCCACCCAATTTTATCAATGCTCCACGACCGTTCCACGTTCAATCGTTGTTGCCGTTGTTTTAAGATTTGCTGCTTGAATTCAAATAGTTTAGATCAATTTATATCCATATTTTCTGCATAATTTACAGCGAGGGCTGACGAGGTACGAGGTGAATCTTTGCAATTTAAGCGAGGTGAATTAATTAAATTCAGAAAACGAGGTGGGCAGAAATTGCTTTCAAAGCATGTCTAACGAGTGAAAAAAAACTTTTCGGGCTCCAGAAAGTTTTTTTTTCCCATCAGAGTGAAAAAAATAGAAAATTAAGGGTGCATTCAGACCCCGTGAAAAAAAAACTTTCTGGAGCCCGAAAAGTTTTTTTATCGTAATTTCAGTCAGTGCCCTGTGGTGGCATGCCCGGTTGTTCCAGGACTTCCGTATTTGTTCTACAGTGAAACCACTGTTTAAGAACCCACTGCATTAAAAACCTCAGGGGCTGGATTGCTGGATTCAACTCTGTCAACCAGCTAATTGAAATAAGAACCCTAGGGAACCCTGAAATTTTCGTCAATAGTTCTTATTCACCTTTCCCAGGTAGCGCGACTAGATTCTAAAATTGCTAAAGCTTGAGGTGTAGCGGGCTATCTTGGTGCTGCTGCTGCAGCTTCTCTTCTCTGGGGTCGAATTTGGGGGGAATCGAGCCCCTGCAAATCCGCTTGTAAAAGAGGCATCTCGGAAACAGAAAAAAACTTTTTAGGCCCTGAAAAGTTTTTTCAGCATCCCCAAGCCTCTGGAGCCCAGAGCGTTGCTGCAACGACGACAAAGATAATTCAAAAAAGTTCAACCCAAAAGGAGGCAGAGGACTAGTTCGAATGGCTTGCGGTCGAGAAAGAAATGGGACGAGGGCTGAAATCCGTTTTGAATGTAACGAGGCGAGGACTGAAGATTTAATCAGAGGGGAAAAGTAGATTTAAGACGAGGAAACCGTTTTGAATTTAAAGTAAATTTTGCAGATATTTTGGGATCAATTAATTGGGATACTTTCCGATATCAGCTATCATAGAACTTTCCGATATCAGCTATCATAGAATGGCCTCCTCAGAAAACGTTGCGTCTCATTGGCATGCTGGAAAGCGCTGTTCAGTAGACATACACTCTGTAGGTCCTGTGGTTTTTGAAGTTGATGTTGGGGGGACAATTCCACAAAGTCTACTTTGGGTGGCGGTTGCACAGCTATGCAAAGTAAGGCAACGACACGTGGAAATTCGTGGTGGATGGATCACCATTACCCAAGTGGCTTGCTCCAACCCAGGCTATAGGTGAATCATAGGCAGAAAGGTCGGCAAAATTGTTGCCTTATATATATATAATACACACACCTGTTTATCTTTGTTGATCTTTATATGTACCCAATTTCTCTTCCAAACATAGGGCGTTGGCGTTGCAACACTGGGAGCAACAGCTTCAGCCGCCGTTGTTCATCAGGCAGAGGTGGAGGTGGCCGAGATGTTGGCAGAGGCGGGTTGAAGAAAAATGGTTGCCCAACAAAAAACCGTTTAGCTTGTTTTGGAATACAGCTTACCCTCTGGTAAACTAACATAGCGAACTGGAAAATCACTATGTTTAATGGGTAAATCCACTATTTCTATGGCAATTTTCAATAGCTATGTTAGTTTACCAGAGGGTACTATTGGTTTCATACAGTTCATACACTTCCTTACTGTCAAAAACACCTGCCATGATCCTACAGTTTTTCATACAGCATCATACATCGAATGAACCCCCGATGGTCCAAAGGTGATCTGCTCAGCGTCGACAGGGGATCCTCTGACCTTAAACGATCACAGAATGCAAAGACCAATATTCTGGGTGAATTATTAAGGGAAATCATCCCCATTCATGGCCGAACTATTCAGGTTAGTGAAATAGTGTAATTTACCCAGAATATTGGTGTTTGCATAAACTGACTTAATCTGACTTAACTTAATTGGTTGCATAGATTGGGCAGGTATCTTGTCCATAAGGTTTGCTTCTTCGATTTTCTTCATAATGATACAAGGTGGTGCTAAGTGGTTTCACAGACAAATTCACTATAGATAATATCTACCATAAACATCCATATTCACCATAGATAGATAGATATATATCTACAAATTACTACAGATATTATATTCACTATATACACACACACACACCGTATTTACAAAATAACTTAGCTAAGTAGGGGGAGCACCACCCACCTTTAGGTCTTCACGCCACCGAGGTCCAGCTGTCGCGCGGCGACGCCGGCAGCGCCTCGCAGACGCTGAACGATGCGCTGCAGCTCTACCGGGACCTGAAGCAGAAGGCGTGGCGTTTTGGGCCAAACCATAGGAAAACCATAGGAAAACCATGGGAAAATGGTGGTTTAATGGGATTTAATGGGATTTAATGGCACTTACCATCTGGTAAACTAACATAGCGAACTGGAAAATCACCATTTTTTGATGGGTAAATCCACTATTTCGACTGGGCCATTTTCAATAGCTAACTGTTAGTTTACCAGAAGGCGAAGGGTTTTGGGTGGATTATCATTATTGATGATTGATGATTATTGAGTATTTAACATCATGGATGGTTAATAATCATAACTAATCTGGTTGGTGGTTTGGAACATGGCTTTTACTTTTCCATATATTGGGAATGTCATCCTCCCAACTGACGAACTCATCTTTTTCAGAGGGTAGGTATACCACCAACCAGTAATGGATGGTTCGTTATGTTACTCAGAATATGTTATCATCATCCATTGGGTCAACTCATCCATGGTCCATTGGGTGAATCAGTTGGTATGTGAACGCGCGAGTTGAAGTTATCCATATGGGTCAAAAGGTCAATCCCAACATTTTGAAGAAGAACACGAAAAAAAACATATCGGAGACATTCGGAGACGAGCAAATTGGGATATATGGAGGTTTTCTGGTTCACCTATTATGACATATTGGGATGATTGGGATGATTGTTTCAGATGACTTGTGGTGGTTTCGACTGGCTGTTTTCCTCGTGTTTTCCTCAACTTGGGGGACCCCAAAATGATTTAACTTGTTGGTCACGTTTAATGTGCGAAAATAAGGATCATCGCCTTTAAGCAACATATTCATATACTGTACAGCGTTGGGCTGTATACCATCTGTAATTTGTCACATAGCTATTGAAAATGGCCATAGAAATAGTTGATTTACCTATTAAAAATAGTGGTTTCCCATTAAACATGGTGATTTTCCCATTAAAAATGGTGATTTTCCTATTAAAAATAGTGGTTTCCCAGTTCGCAAACGGTTAGTTTACCAGTTCTGATTTTTTTTGTTCTTCCATTAGCCAATTTTTTTAGACCTAAACCCTGAAAAAGTACCTATAAAGTTTATAAAGAATGTTTCAAAAAGGGAACACATGCAACACACACACACAGATATATATATATATATATCATTTATAGATGATTTACCCAGCTAGAAATTCTAATTAATTCTAATTACATATCTATTCTATATATATATGTATGTATATATATATATATACCCTCTGGTTATTTGTTACATAGCCATGGTAAAGATGGCCCGTTGAAATAGATGATTTTCCCACCGCTAGAAACCTCCATTTATTTTAAAATTTAGGGGATTTTCCATGGCTATGTTAAATAACCAGAGGGTATTTCCCATTGGAAAGTCATAAAATTCCATGGTTCCAAACCACCAACCAGTATCATGAAAATGTATGTATATATGTATATATATATATACAATATTTATGATTTTGTGATTGGCGGCTTTCCTTTTTTGGGAGATGATGATGTTGATCCTCGACGCTCCAGGCTGGCGAAGCTAAGATGCTCCTGTTGTTGGCTGGTCTCAAGCAGCGCGGCGGACGCAACAAGGTCGGGAGAGATCTCAGTTTTAATGTGGTTTTAATGGGGTTTTAATGAGATGTAATGGGATTATAATCTACTTAATGGGATATACCCTCTGGTAAACTAACATAACTTGCGGAAAATCGCCATTTTTGATGGGTAAATCCAATATCAATTGGAGGTTTCCTAAAATGGGGGATCCCAAAATCATAGGTTTCAATACTACAATGGTCGAATGACTTGGATGATTTGGGGTTCCCCCATGACTTAGGAAACTTCCACATCAATTTTTCAAGTCATTGAACAGAAATACTGCGCTTAACCATGGCTGGTTGGTGGTTTCAACCAGATGTTGGTGGTTGGTGGTTTGGAACATGAATGGATCATGACTTTCCCATCATATTGGGAATGTCATCATCCCAACTGACAAACTCATCCTTTTCAGAGGGGTAGGCTCAACCACCAACCAGATGGAGTTTTTCACGTGTCTAACTGGGAGGCTCCAGTGGAACCATCGGATCATCAGGGCGATTTTCCGTGTTTCTGCCAACGATGAAGAAGTTGGAGCTTGGAGACCAACAAAAAAACACATCTGATACCCTCTGGTAAACTAACATAGCTATTGAAAATGGCCCATTTATAGTGGATTTTCCCATTAAAAATTGTGATTTTCAATAGCAAACTGTTAAATTACCAGAGGGTATTAGATATCAGATATCTTCAGATATGGGTATGGGTCAATACCTATAGATACATTTTTAGTGGGTTATTCACATCCATTTTAACCCAGCTATGACTTGGGGTTCACGGCACGGTACCAGGGTTTTGACCCATCCCCATATTATATATCAGATATCAGATATCCCATGATATCCCATTGATATCTCCAGAACAGGCCACCAATCCATCGTCAGCCTGAGATCTCCAGGAAGCTTTGAGTCTGGCTCAGCAGGCCCTGGGTCTTTTCAAGGCGCCTCGCCAGTGGATCTCTGATGGCATTGGAGATCTGAGATTTTTCCATTGGGAAAATCTGCAAAATCATAGGAAAATCATAGGAAAATCATAGGAAAATCATAGGAAATCATAGGAAAATGGTGATTTAATGGTGATTAATCCATGATTTTCATGGTGATTAATGAATATTTATGATATTTACCCTCTGGTTATGACTAACACTTCGCCATGGTTTTTTGATGGCCCATGAAAATAGATGGTTTACCGAACTTAATAGCATGGTGTTGATTTTCCATGGCTATGTAACAAATAACCAGATGGTACCAATAAACATACAAGAATTTTCCCAGCTATAAACTGGCTACAAACATCCGTTTATAGCGGATTTCCCATTGGGGTTTTAAAAAAACTTAACAAAACCAGGTTTTTCTAACAAGTATATCAGTATATCAGTATATCCCATGAAAGGCACCATTTTTCATTCTGAAATCAGCAAATTTTACCCTTACATGATGATGTTATGTCATGTTATGGAGGTTTCTTGAAATGGAGATCACCCAACATGATGTTATTACACCCAACTCGTCCAAACTTAGACCGTTTTAATATGTTTTAATATTGAAACCTAGGACCTATGGTTTTGGGCATCACCCATTTTAAGAAGCCCCCATATGTTCCACCAATTGGGTGAATTGGATCTTCCTAAATGATGGTCTCCACTAAGATGTGGCTATTTTCAGGGTCAATCTAACTGTTCACTACTTGTAGATGGTTTCTTGATGTACCCAATTATACCATGTTATTCCGTGTTATCCCCAACTTAATGTACATATGCTCAATAGTTGGATCGTATGGGCAAGATTCGGTGAATTGCTCATATTTTGGGGACGAATCAACTCATTTTCATAGCCGTAGCCACCTTTACCATCTGTTGACACACATGTGGCCGTTTTTTTTTGCTGCTTGAACAACCAAAAAATGTGGCTATACTGTGGATTTAATGGGAATAAATTATGGGGAAAGTTTGATTTGGGTGTGTTTTAAAATGGGTCCAGATGAAATGGCTCTGAAAACGGTGTTTTAACCGGCAACAATTTGGGGTTTGCCAGCAAGAATAGGTGTGGGCATTCATATATATCTAATATTGGTGATATTGACTCAGAACTGGTTGGTGGTTTGGAACTTTTTTTATTTTCCCATACATTGGGAATAATAATCCCAACTGACTTTCATATTTTTCAGAGGGTTGAAACCACCAGCCAGATAAGATTACATGGGTGTGTTTGAAAATTGTGGGTTTTCCTTCATTTCATGCGGGTTTTTTGTTTGGGAAAGACAGGCCATAACCATTGGATTTGGGGTTTCCGAAGATTTTCAGACGTGGCCCCCATTTTGTTTCCGTGCTAAGGACGTGGGGTTAGTTCACCTAGTTATGAATGGCAAAAAAGCCACGAATGGCTTCTGATCACCAGGGTTGTTAACCACTGGGATGATCCTCCAGGTACTGTGGCCAGGTGAAAGTGGAACGAGGGTGCTAACCCCCATTGACAAGAACCACCAACTTCCTGATCTACCACGAATTGGAAAACAACGATCTCCCATTGCTGTATGTTGCTATCCATCATTGAAGTTGGTATCTTCCATTCTGGAGCATTGAGGAGGGTTTTTCAATGGGAATTTCAGGATCCTAAAATGGAGGTACTGTACCATATAAGACCATATTTTCTGGGGATATTCCCTTACATAGGCCTTATATAGACCTTATATATGGTAGGTACCTCCAATCAATCGGTTCCTGAGTCATGGCCATTGATTTTTATGCATCCCGTAGCATCAGAGGCTTGAAATCCAACATGGCAATCGGTTAAATCAACCATTGATAGTTACGACTAAAAACTGACTTGTTCAATATTCACAGAACTGGATGGGAAAACTTTAACAGGAACCCCTTCAGGAACCCCATGCCTTTTGATGGTGAAAAAACCATGGTAAAAACATGGTAAAAACCATGGGTTTACTGTGGATAAACACCCTCAACCCCATATCCAGTTGCCGGTGGTTTTTTCAGAGTTTTCCCCAGCTTCATGTGCATCCCCAATGGAGGTATATTTTCATGGGTCATCTATGGCCATTTTTAATGGGTAATATTATGTAATTTCAGGATGTAATAATGGCTAATAAGATGCAATTTCATGACCTATAAACATGACTGTCACATTGTCATATTCATAGGAAATAAGCTATAGTTAACATGACTGTCATATTCATAGGAAATAAGCTACTGTATAGTTACAGATGAAATGTCCCCTAAACTGATAGGTTATCTTTGGTTTTATCAACTTGCTTTATTGGGATTCGCCATGGATCTGGATCGCCAGGAGCTGGCCGACTCCTCAAAGAGCGAGGATTGCCAGCGGATCATCAACAGGTGCCGCCAACGGGCCGACGGGGCGAAAGGAACCAGGAAAGATCTGGGAGAAAAAACAACCAACGAACACCAAAAAGCACTAGCTTTGAGCTTGAGCAAAGTGGGATATACATGGATATACCCTCTGGTAAATTGTTAGACTTTGCGAACTGGAACATCACCACGTTTAAGAACGGTAAATCAACGAAGTAAGTTTGTGCCATTTTCCAGTTCGCAAAGTGCAAAGCTATGGACATCCCTAAGGGCCAAACAAAAAACTGCGAACTGGGATTTTTCAGGCCAACGTGGTAGAACCCTGGCGTCGTTTTTTTTTTTTTTAATAGGAAAAACCGCAAATGGCACAAACGTCCATCATTTAAATGTGGCGAAAGATAGGCCAGAAATTGAGCTGTTTGCTATCCCTTTCAAGTACCAAAACATCCATCATATAAAATCTACTGTTCTATCCCTTTAAAGTACTTTTCAACATCCATCTAAAATCCATCTGGTTTAAACAATCATAAACCATCCCCCAGTCATCACCATAAATATGTAGGTGGGATTCAAACTATTCCCAGTCATGGGTGGTTTATTGTTTTAACATGTTTTAACCACGTAGTCCTCTGCCTGGGGTGCGTCCATTGCGTCCATCCATGTCCATCCCATCAGGGCGTACGCGGATAGTGGCGAGATGGAGAAAGCGCCCAATCGCAACGACGCCCTGAAGGCTCTCGAGGACCCTGGGGGGCTGGGGGGGGGCTGGGTTGACCTGGAAAACTCATGAAGAATGGCAGAAAAATGGTGGTTTTTCACGATGTTGAACGGTTTAAGCCGGGGGGTTGATGCTGGTGTTACCTCGTACCCGGAAAAATGGTGATTTCTCTATGGGCTTGGGATTTGGATTTAGAACAAGAAGGGAGTACTTGTTGAATGGAATGGAGACTTGAGTGTTTTCTTCGAGATTGAAAGTTTGAAAGGATTTGAACGATGATTTTTCTTTCCACAGGGGGAAGTATATGGAGTTAGACATGAAAGAAGAGAACTTTCTGGTGTAGGGATGAAAGCAAGAGACGCAAAACATACTCGGTTATGAGATTTGGGGTTTATGTCCGAGTAGTTCAAACAACTACTGTCACCAATCCCGCTACCAATCCCTGCAGCCTTCTGGGAAGGACTTGTCTTCAGCAGTGGAAAACCAGGATAAGACGCTTGGATGCCCTCTCCATCGCTTGGGGATTTCCCAGCTACAGACCTCCATGGAAAGTTCGGGGCATTCCCAGCCATCTTTGACAGAAGTCTATCAACCAATGTTCCATTCATATTCCATTCATATTCCATTCACGTTCCATTACTATTTCATACCATCTATGTCTATGTTCCATTACTATTTAATACTATTTAATACTATTTCATTACTACTCCATTATATCACCATGATATCCTCGTCATACCGCCATTTTTGTTGGGGAACTACCCATGTTTGTTGCTTAAATCATCTGCAGCAAAAAACATTCCAGTTTTTTCAGAGGTTTCCTAAGATGTTCCCAACATGTTCCTGGAATCAGTTCGGTTTCACCCATAAACATACCCTAGTATTTGATGTTTCACTGGGATTGTAATTTACCAACCAGAAAATGGTGATTTAATAGTGAACATGAATTTTATTTCCCATATAGTATATAATATATGATATATATATATATATGGGATGTCATCCTCCCCATTGACTTTCACTCCATCATTTTTCAAGATGGTTAGCCAGCACCACCAACCAGAAATATATATATATATATTAAGTGGATTATAATCCCATTCCATTCCATTAAATCCCATTAAACCATATTAAACCCCATTATGGGTAATGGTAAGCATACCACCTATTAAAAACACATCCCCTGAATCAGTTTTTGGTTCACTGAGGAATCTCTGGAAGACGGCCATAGCCCAGCTGAACAAGAGCTCTGCCTACACCCAGCATGCAGGGAGCCCAGTAAGGCTCAGTAAGTCGGCTTTTTTTTTTCTTTCCATCCGAAAACAGGACATTTCGCAACTGGAAAGCTATTCATGAATGGTTGGTAATGGAGAATACTGGGTAATAATAGGTTTCCATAGGTTAATCATTAATTAATTATTTCCTATTCTTAACCTATTCATTAATGGATGGTTAATGGATCATGATGGTGAAATCATCCCTGTGGGTTGTTTATCGAACCCACGTGAAAAAATAGGTCGTGTTTCTAACCGAATTTCTTTCGTCCCACAAAAACTGTTTCATTTTTTGACTGTTTTATTGACTGTTTTATGTGAAGGCGTCAGAGCTTTTTCTAGAATTTTTGGGCGCCCATTTTTTGCCTAATTTCTGTCAAAACCACAGCAGCGGCCACTTTTTTCCTTCATTTTTTCTTCACTCTTTTTTTCTTCACTCTTTGATCTTCACAAGTGCTTGATTCCTTTTGTTTGCATAGCATGGAGGTATGTATGGAAGTGCAAGAGAACTTGCAGCAGCGTAGCATGACGTATATATGAAAGTGCAAGAGAACTTGCAGCAGCGTAGCATGACGTACATATGAAGGTGCGAGAGAACTTGCCGCAGCGTAGCATGTAGGTATGTATATAGAAGTGCAAGAGAACTTGCCGCAGCGTAACATGACGTATGACGTATATATGAAAGTGCAAGAGAACTTGCAGCAGCGTAGCATGTACGTTATTACCCCACCCCACCCCACTATATCATATGAAGACTTCAAAAAAACCTACAACACGCGTGTTCGGTTTTCAACCCGTAGGCTTAATCATGGATGATTTAAATATATGGAGATTTCTTAAAATGGGGGTACCCCAATAGCTGGATGGTTCAGAATATAACATCCTATTGAAATGGATGATTTGGGGGTATCCCTATTTTAGGAAACCTCCAAATGAGATATAAAGAGGATATACATGGAATATATAATATATAAATATATACATGGTATATAATGGGATGATAATGGGATATAAATTGTAATTATATAGTATGATGACTTCTAGTAAATGGGATATACATGGGATACACATAACTGGGATAGAAGACGAACAATATGATAACATGTCGGGTGTTTGGAAATGGGGTAACACATCTGATCGTGTGTCAAAATCAGGGATTGACCGCCAGTTGTTTTGGAAAAATGAGGGATTGACATCAATGAAACATTCTTGTTGAGCACTTCAATATCCACCATTTGGTTTACAAGTATCATACATTATGTATATACCATAAAAAATATATATATATAAACATACATATATCATATATCCCATTATACATACACATACATATATCCCATGATATTCCCATAATATTCCCATTCTTATGTTCACTTTCACCGCTCTTCGGGACGAAAAAAAAAACGACCCCAAGGACGTGCAGCAAATTTTTGGCGCGGCGTTGAAGAAGGAGGGATTGGGCCGAAAAATGTGCAGGTCTTGGGTAGGTTCAACCACCAACCAGATGACGTGATGGTTACCCTCTGGTTATGTCAAAATAGCTATTGAAAATAGCCATTTATAGTTGATTTACCCATTAAAAATGGTGATTTTCCATAGTTATGTTAGTTTACCAGAGGGTAGTGATTTTTCTAGTGGTTTCCATAGGGTATAAACCAAGAATGGGAATATGATGGGGATAACCAACTAACAACTGTAGTGAACTTGCCGTAGGCCATGTGCACTTGAGTTACATGGTTGGAAGGCATGGTCAGTGGCCAGTAGGCATTTCCACCTCGTTTCTGGCGCAGTAGCCGGACACTTGTCTATGAAGTGCCCACAAAAAGCATGTTCTAGTGCACACAAAAGCAGGAGTTTATCCTCTAGTCAAACATGGCTAGCTGGAAAATCACCAATTTATGGAGGGATTTTCCCATCAAAACCATCATCTGGTTGGTGGTTTGGAACATGATTTTTTTTTATTTTTCATTTCATATATGGGATGTCATCCGAAACCCATTGACTTTCACTCCATCATTTTTCAAGATGGTGAAATTGCACCACCAACCAGAAATATATATTAAGTGGATTATAATCCCATTCCATTCCATTAAATCCCATTAAAATCCCATTGAAATCCCATTGAAATCCCATTAAACACTATTAAATCATCGTTAAACACTACCAGATCATATTTCTATCGGGATTTCTCGCAGTCATTGCAACAAATTCAGGACCGCCGCGCTGCAGCTGGATTTCTGCAGCAAATGGGTGTGCGCTCAAAAGGCGGGTTTTTTTGGGTTCCAACCACCAGGTATCAACAGGCAAAAAATGTGGGAAAATGGTGGGAATCTGTGGAATTTGTGTATTTTTTTTGGACTCTCGTCCCCGGCTCGAGTCAACTGTTTTCAAACAGTTTTAGCATCCAGTTTCTGTCGTTCCCTCAAGATTGAGGGCATATTTCTTTCAACATGGACTTTTGGGGATGGGCTTCGCTTTTTTTTGCATCGAAATCTTCGCCATTCTGTGAATTTCACATCTCCCAACAACCTTTGGAGATTTGTGATATTTGTGGGGGTTTCCTAAGTCATAGGGCCCCCAGTTCTCATCCATTTATAATGAGGGAAATCATCCCCATTCATGGCCGAACTATTCAGGTTAGTGAAATATTATAGTTTACCCAGATAGATGGATTTCCCACCATAAACCATCCAGCTATTCCCATATGGAGGTGTCCTAACCTAAAATGGGGGTAACCCCAAATCATCAAATCATCCATTTATAGATTCGTATTTTCCCACCATAAACCATCCAGCTATTGGGGTATGCCCCGTGACCATGGAAACCAACCGCGTTGACCCCGCCGTTACCACCGTCCCCTTTTGAAACCAACGGTGCTATAGGTAGCGCCCCCGAGCTTCTCATCCGTGAGGTGACGAAGGCCGCTTTTCGAAAAGGTGATATGATGGTTTGTACCATAGTTACTATGTATATATATATATATATAGATACCATCTGTTTATGACTAACATAGCCATGGAAAATGGCCCATTTATAGATGGTTTACCTGGGTTTACCGTTCTTAAAAATGGTGATTTTCCATGGCTATGTTAGTCATAACCAGATGGTATATATATATATATGGGTAAATAAGGGACTTCATTAAGAATTTTTTGATGGAATTTTGCCTGGAGTATATTCCATTGTTATATAACCGGTGAATTTTTGACGGGTTTTCCATGAAGATTCCAGTGATATTCTATATGATATATTCCATATTATATGATATATTAATGGAACATGACTGGAAGATTGGTTGATACATGTTGATACCTTTCTGTATTCAAACATGGCTGGCTGAAAAGTCCCTTGTAAATGATTGTAAATGGAGCTTTATAGATAGGGGGAGGTGGTCAAACTAAATTGGATTTTCCAGCTAGCCATGTTGATTACCATACAGTAACCATGCTGAAAAAACCTGAGTTGGGATATAAACTATGGCTATGTAGCCACATAGTGGACGGGCACCCCCAAGTCGTTTTGTCTTTTCTCTCAATGGTTTAGAATCGCTCAGCCACCAAGCCAGAGAAGTGGAAAACCAGCAACCAATCTAGGACCAACAAATGATATGTATGTCAGCAACAAAACCAGTCCAAGGGAAGTAAGAGGAACCTGGTCTGAAGTACCATTTTTTTTGGATGGTTTTTCCAATGTGGAGTTCCCAGCCATGTTTTTTTTGCTGGAAGGAAGGTATCATGCACCTATCACTTTAAACATCTTTAAACCATCTAAAACCCCCATCAATTTGGGTGCGAAAATCTGTTGCTATTTATCTGCTTCGCGAAGCTGTTAATTGGCATGTCAGTTTCACTCCTAAAATCTGCAAGTAGTTGAGTCGAGGTGCTTTTTGTGAAAAGCACAATCCAGGTGAAATCCCCAAATTCTACACGCATATTTTGTTGGATGCTTCTTTTTAATATGGGTTTCTCTGAAAATTCAGGGAAAACCCGGTGAAATTTAACTTCGCATTTTACAGTTGACTATCCCTGGAAAAACACCTGTGTCTGAAGTCCCAACATTTTTCAACCTCATCATCACAGTAAATCATGGGATTGGGAAGGGAAACTCCTTGGCTAACTGCTTGATATACCTTAAAATTGGCCTTTTCAGGCCCGAAAATTGTAATATCCTCAGTATTTCTTCGTATTTCTAGGCCAGAATATACCGTTATCTCCCAGCTTAATCCAGATGATTTCACATAAAATGGCTTGTTTTATACCATTTCCCCAGGATTTTCTCATAAAAACCACTAAAAACATCCACTTGACCAAGAATTTTCGATGAATTTCCATGGAAATCCTACGAATTTCCCAGGGTTTTGTTTCGGGGAAAAACCACACGCCACGCCACTGCGCCAGGTCTTCACCTATGTGGGCTTCCGCGTGGGCGGCTTGGGCTACGGCCCGCGATTCAGGTGTCTGCAGCCGACCCACGGGCTCATGGTGGAGGCCATGGGGTGGCGATGAGGAAGTTCTGGCTGAAAGGGAATTTTGCTGGCAAATCATTGGACAATGGGGAAAATGATGGGGAAAATCATGGGACAAATCAGGGGAAAATGATGGGAACTCTCCTAAAAAAATGAAATTTTGAAGAGGGAAATCCACGAAGTAAATGAAGGTTTTTTTTGGGGGAAATCATGGAGAAATCAGGGAGAAATCAAGTCAGTCAACAGATGTCAACAGTGGCTTTGTGCCTTAAAATGTCATGGGGATTTAACTAAAAGTCCAAGATAAATAGGCTGAAACATGCTGAAATCAGGCATTTTTTGGGGCATTTAATGGGATACATAGCCAACAATATCTGGTTGGTGGTTTGGAACATGGCTGGATTATTTTTCCATTCAGTTGGGAATGTCATCATGCCAATTGACGAACTCATATTTTTCAGAGGGGTAGGTCAACCACCAACCAGATCTGATATTTCTGGGTGTCCTCAACTTTTCTTTTTTCCCAGCGGACCTGGCAAAACTTGAATTCATAAGATTTCACCATTCAAACTTGAGATTTCAGCCATGAAGAATGGATATGTGGTTGCTATCAGATACTGTAGATATCTGTATATAGATAGGTTTTTTGGCCATTATAGGCCTCCATGTTCAAAATCAATGTTCATCGATTTTGATGGAAAGCATCTAGACCTTGGATGTGATGGGGAATCTGATGCTGGCTGGATGCTGGCTCGGTGAATAGCAACCCGACTATCGTATGGCTCACAGATGTTCACAATGAAAACAAATAAGGTGGGTCTTTTTAAAGGTTTTGAGATACTATGGTTTGTGACCTTGTGAACCATATTTGCATATACCTCTATCATCTATTTCAATAGTTCATCAATCTTTGCGGTGGTGCGGTAACATTGTTTGACGGCCATGAAGTGGGGCTTAGTAAGTAATCCCCCATTTTCAGACCCAAAGTTTCACAAGTTTCACAAGTTTCATAGCTAGCAAAGAGTTCCAGCAATTTCCAGTTTCTTTTTCATATCATATTTTCATAAAATGGTTGACTCAATGGATTTTTTTTTCCAGGGAAAAAATCGTCACCGGAAAGCGTTTCGATACTTTTTTCCCATTCAAAAAAATGGGGGCTTTCCGGTGAAGAATTTTCCCGACAATACCAATCCATTGGCGCTTACCCAAGCTGTTATGACATGAACAGTTCGCCATGGTTTTAAGCCATGGCCCATGAAAATAGATGGTTTACCGAACTTCAAAATGGGTGGATCTTTCCATGGCAAACTGTGAATGTCATAACCGGTATATCCCCAGCATTGAGTGCTTGGCAGCCCATTTTTGGTGCGGCTAAGGGCGACCCTTCAAGCATGCACGCATTGGGATGCATGAGGATCGCAGAGGAGGCGGCGACGAATCCGTGGCATATTATGGGCTTCCCATAGGAAGGTTTATGAGGGAAAATCCATCGAAATAATGGATGAGAACTAGGGTTTTTTTGCCATTCTTTGGTGTTCTCTGCCTTTCTGTGAAGCTCTAAAAGTGAGGCTATAAACTACTAAGATGGATAGAAGACCAGGGGCACCAGCTGAAGTTGTTCGTTTTGACTGGCCAGGCAGATGATTGGGAGAAGGAATTGCAGTACCATCCTGGCATTTTGGATGGATGCTTGCAATCGCAGAGTGCACTTGGCTGAAGCTGAGCCAAAATGCACAGGAGCTCTGAGCTGCGGTTGAGAACTGGCTATGGATGCATTGGAAAAGTCCAAGTTTCTTGGGCCTCACCTTAGATCCCCAGTATCGAAGAATGACAAGTGCCATGGTGATGATCATGGCTTGGTAGCACTTTTGACCCCAGCTTCATGACTTGGGGGTCCCTGTGATCTATTGATTTTAACTTGGCTAATTACTGTATCTGTATATGATATATCTCACCGTTTCAGGATGGTTCAAACTCAAACCATGTTGAAACGCAGTTTTTGAATGTTTTTGATATTTCAGCCCCATTGAAAAATCTGATCGATCTGATCGGAAGGGATGAACAGATGGGTATGGGTCACAATTCGGTACCCCAACAATTGGATGGTGAATACTAAACTAGACATTTCCATCTGTGGTCCCCTAGGTCTTTCATTTTGACCCACATCCAGATGTTGTTTGATAAAGATATTGCACCGCTTCAACTTGGAACCGATTCTCGGGTGATTTTTTCATGAGAGCTGTGAGAAATTCAAGCCCAGCACTGTGGCCATCATGGGGAAACAGATGATATCAAGCATCAAATTTCGGCCAAGCTATTTTCAGACACGTAAACTTATTGGATCATCCATCTTGATGCATTTTTGGGTTGACTCCCTTATAAATCCGTGGTTGGACTTCCTAATCTGTGGTTGACATTGCAGTTAACGCCGAAAAGGTGTGCAGCTAGATACAAGTTCTGGGGCTCAATCATTTGTGATGTCAACCCTGGATTAATAAACCCCTAGGCTGTTTAATTGGGAGGGTAGGCTTTTATGTACCATATTGTGACTATTTGGAGGGTACCCCGGGGTTGACATTACAACGTTGGCCAGACACGTTGAGACGTTGAGAAGTCCTGAACTCAGGACATCCAATGCAGCTTTGACGACACCCCATAACGGGATGTCGTCAGCCAAAACATCCACATGTGAACATGGCATTATTAGTTATAATATAATTAGTAACCATTATTAGTAATAGTAACCATGAATAATTTTTTTGACATCTCCAGAACTGAAAATGTTTGTTAAAGAACGCCTTGTTTAAGAGATTTTAAGAGCAGATTCATACTTGGCAAATCCAGATAAACTTTCGCTTGGCGCTTTGTAAATCGGATTCTTCCGGCAGGCGGGTCGCAGGTCGCATTGTGGAGCGATGGCTCGCCAAAAAAGATGCTGCGATGGTACCAGTACGCCCTGAAATGCTCTGGTCATAGAATTGGATGATGGGAAAATTGGAACCGGAAAGCCCTATATTTGATGGTAAAAACAACAATGGTTTCCGGTTAAGATTTTCCCTTAAACCAACCCAATGATCTGGAGTCTAAAGAATCTAACGTAATTAGCAAGTCTTGGGGTTCCATGTCGATTGCAGGAGCTTTGAAGGTTTCCTAACCCAAATGATCCAAACTTAGCCCCTTTTAGTATTGTATTGAAATCTATCGCTGGGGATCCCCCATTTCCAGAAACCACCATGTGGCAATGGCAGTGAACTGAAATTGCTGGTGTAGATCAAGCCACGGTCAAAAGACCACCAGCTGGTTTGGGGTGTAGCGACTTTTAAAGACACCTTTGGAAAGTCATCAGCTTCGTCTCAGGTTTAGAATTGTTACTTATGTTTACTTTGAACTAATGTTTACTTTGCTTAGAATTCTTCAGGTTGGATGCAGGCTTCATGTACATGGCTATGGACCCATCTAATTCCATGAACATTGACAAGGGTTGACACGACTGGAAGTTTCACGCTGAGCCTAGTCAAAACAGGAGCTGTCTCCCCGCATTTGAACGAGATGGAGCCTTGATTTTGCCAATGAGGAACGCGAGGTCTTGGGTTCTCCCTCTGTATCAGGGCCAAAAGTATCTCCATGACCCACTGTGGAACGCTGGAACTGGCTGGTCAGGCGCGAGATAGCGCACAGGGGCTGGGATGGCACCAGGAGAGAAAGTCACGCAGACTGATGGGGACATATCCAAAAGCAACCAAGACCCCACGAAAGTCACGCAGAACTCGCTGAGCCCCCTCACGAAAGGAATGTTTATACAGGAACACATCGCACCTTTTCCATCCTTTCAAATGGCAAAATCATCATATCATCATATTCTTCCACTTTTCCCAATGTTACTTGGGTCAAAATCATGTCTTTCAAAGTCAGCCTTAGTCTTTGGTCACGTTCGGTGAAACTGCGACCTTCTTTGGTCGCACATGGCCTGACGAGTAAACGAGCCACTCTTGCCACATAGCCATGAGGCGGCGTAGTTGCAGGGGGGGGACCTCGATCTGGCACTTAACAGCAGTTCTTGAAGCAACGCTGCCGGGGATTTTCACGTGTTTTTTTTTTCAAAAGAAAAGAGTTGGAGAAAATAAATGGACATGAAAAAGACAGTGCAGGCAACAAGGGATTCCCAAAACAGTGGTGGGGATATATGATTGGTTGGCAACGTGATTCAAAACATTTTTGTGATTTTGTTGGGAGGTTCCAAACCACTGAGCCAGCTGATGACCAAAAGTCTTAGATCATCCTGGTGGCAAGATCGGCAAGACCCCTGGATCCTGTCAAGAATTCTTACAGAAATCTAGCGCACATCTTGATGAATCATGTTGGATCCAGGGCATGATTGTGTTTATTTCTGTGGATTAACCTTGAGTCCTCTGTGGTCATTAAATTTACCCTCTACTGTAGTTATTTATGGCCCATAGAAATAGATGGTTTACCTATTAAAAATGGTGATTTTCCATGGCTATGTTAGTCATAACCAGATGGTAGTAAGTAAAGTACATGAACATCTCGAGCGGCATATTTCTGCATGGTCAGCGGCACATCTACAGCAACTTCCTACGGGAGCTTCGTACGGGAGTTTTGCAAATCACTATCCCTGGAAGGTTTTGTTTGTTGCTGGTCACCATTGGACCATTGGTTACCAAGATGTTACCAAGAAAATAAGATAAGCCAAACATTGATGTTTTAGAACCTAAGATTATTTTCCCGATTAGAATCCATTAAACACATGATTTGACATGTTTTTTTCAATGCCTATCCGGTGGTGAATGGAGGGAGCGGTGAAGGGAGCCATGGTTGTATCCATATATGGGGAACCAAGGAGTTTCCTAGAATCAGAGTTTCCCAGCCACACAATAATCTATGGTTAATCTATGATTAATCTATGGTTAATCTATGGTTAATAATGGGAATAACAATATAATCAATATGTCTGGTTGGTGGGGAACATGGCTTTTATGTTTCAATATGTTGGGAATAATTATCCCAACTTACGCTCATATTTTTCAGAGGGGTAGGTTCAAACCACCAACCAGGAGAGTCTATTTAAGTCTACATAATTTGATGTGTGTAAATATCTGCAGAAATATGATCTGTGTATGTGTGATATGTGATTTTTTTTTGCAGATTTCGCCCGCGAACTGAAGATCATTTTCTCCAAAAAACATGGACTTGCCATATAAACACATATATAAACCTCATTAAACCCCACATCATCGCCATATTTTCCATTAAATCTTTGATGGTTAATTGAATCAGTGGTGGGGAAGAACTACGCACTCATTGGAGATATTTAAACTAGAATCCCACAGCCATTAAATCCCGAATTGGTGAGGAAGACTAGATTTAGTTGATAGGTTGAAGGGAACATCTGGAGGATATACCTACATTTGAGGGTTAAAACGATGGTTTCCTGTAAATAAAATATAATAAAACCCCTTAAACGATGGTTATAAATGATCCACTTTGATGCAAAATTCGGAGATATAGTGAGATGATACATTCAGTGGAGACTGTAAATACTTATCCCCACTATAATGGTGGTTTCCTAAAATATGGCTACCACCAGTTCTCATCCATTTATAGATGGATTTTCCCATGGAAATAAACAATCCAGCGTTTTTGTTGGGTATCCCCATGACTGTGGAAACCACCATATCATCATATCTATAACCAAAATTTGATGATATATTATGGATGATAACCCTGTATATTTATATCTCTAATATGGTGAAGATATATTTACCATTTGGTTATTTAACGTAGCGAACTGGAGAATCACCATTTTTCATAGGTAAATCAACTATCAATTACCCATTTTCCATAGCTATGTTAGTCTGACGGAGGGTCATCTATACCATGCCTATAGAAGCTATGTTAGTTTACCCATAGAAATCATGAAAACATATGTATCATATATTGTAATATACCATCTGGTTATGACTAACAGTTCGCCATGGAAAGATCCACCCATTTTTAAGTTCGGTAAACCATCGATTTCTATGGGCCATCTATACCATGGCTATGTTAGTCATAACCAGAGCCCCCTAAGATTTCACCATTCCTGGGCCAAAAGGTCCAGGAAACGTCCAGCCTCGGCATTGGTGCCGCGAGGTGCGGTGCCGCTTTGGAAAAACAAAAAAAACACAATTTTTTGGGCGGTTTTTGGAGTGAAAATGATGATAAACCGTGAGATTTTGGGGGACACTATATACTTTAAGCCAAAGGCAATATACATCATCACTGTGGAAGTTAGACTATCTTAGCAGGGGAGGTGGGAAACAAGAAGTTTCAATAAGCAACACTAATGTTTTTGTTCATGATTCATCCCAGACAAATACAACGGTTGGTGGTTTCAAACATTCCTGGATTTTTTTTCCATAGATTAGTGGGATAATCCTTCCCATTGACTCAAGACGACCCGCAAAAAAAGTGAGTCGGGGCGGATTAATATGGCAATGCAAGCCAATGATCAGGAACAACCCGTACTATCAGTATTGTTCATATCATCAGTTTGTATTATAGATGATTGTAGTATATACCGAAAGATCTGGAGAGTACTTTGATAACATCTATTAACAGCCATTAACTGATGATTGTAGTACTATTAACAGCCAAAGATCCCTAATCGTGGAGCTACTTTGCCAGTCGGAATCGATGGCTGGATGCTACGAACCGACCATCTTTTGGTTGCGTTAGCAGTGACTCTGAGCCCGACCCTGTCACGAGTTGCTGGTTGGTAGATTCTTTTTGGGAGATTGTAAATCATGTTGTTGGTATTTTATCTCATGGAATACCCC